AGTGCTTGATACATCCTCTAGTTCGTTACGTCAAAGGTGTCTCATTAGTGACCATATAAACCTTCGTGGAAACGGTCTGCTTCCTTTCGGTACATGCTAGGCACATATTCTTCTTGCCGCATTAACAACCAATACTCATTGGAACGAAATGAACAAGTCTTGGACAAGTTCAACCGAGTGATAGCAATACTGATGGTATAGCCACTCTCTCTCGCTCGCTCGAAGCCGATTTCGGCTAGGCGGCCAGCCAATGCCTATCACACATTAGCTGCTTTTGAGGTCTTCGATGGTCGGCGAGGGTGACCAGCCCATCTCCGCGTTGTTTTTTTTTCAAATCATCGTCGTATGAGGTATAGCCACTCTCAATCATCCTACTCAGACTACAGCATGCAATGTAAGCACTCAAACGAAGCGTCGCTTGCTTGAGGAATACGACGCATCAAGGCCAACAACTGAGTGATGTCCTCATACTCGTGCTCAATTGGAACTCGTCATGGTATCCATCGCGAGCTCTGTAGGAAGAATAACAAGTGTCTAGTAGAGAAGTGACTCGCGAGTGGAAAGAATCCCAACCTGAATAGTTTGTACAAATGAATGTCTAGAATTTATATACCTCCAGCTCGACCGAAGATCCATCGAGAACTAGCAGATACTTGTTTTTCGAAACAGCTGACTGTTTTCCACTCAGTGCTTAGAATTGCTCTCACATCTGGATTTTTAACAGCTCGTATCACGTACTCGATGCGAGCAAACTCAGTCTTCTTTCAGGTGTCAAACGTTGTTCTCTGTTACCATCGAACAAGCAATGCGAAAATCTAACAACAAATTACGATCAACATCTAACGAATAAGCAACGAGTCGTTAACCCCAACGGGCAACTCTTGGGAAGCGTCGTATAACGTCTTCAAAAGGTAAGCAAATCCGAGACTCGGAATCTCGAACAAATGATTAACTCGCTACAACACAATTCAATGATGATCAGATGTAAGATCTAGAGTGAACGATTAAACAAGTTACCGTGGGAAATATCCCACCTACATCCACTACACGTGGCGTAACACTTCGGTCTGGCTCATCGTTGAACAACCAACATCTCGAGGTTTGAACTGAACGAGTCAGACGCTGAATTCAGAATGAGGAAGTAAGATCATCAGATAACAAATCCTTTTCTACTGATGATGAATGGCGAGTTTGCTTTCTCTAGCACTCATACTGCGGAGATAGGGAGTATTAGGCTGGAGCATTTCCATCCTACCAACCCAGGCAGCAAAACTATCACTAAGCCAAGGTTCGAGGGCAACCAAAACCTGATTCTTGAAGCCAATGGTATGAACACCAGTAGCAATACGAGGATCATCATTCTGGAGCCTCCAGACGACCTCATCAGTGCACTTCTCGGAGGGCATGTCGAACAGGGTGAACAAAGGAGATGCCTTGCAACCAGCAGCAACACTGAAGTTAGTATCATTCATGGCACCAGGCTGGATAGTAAGAACACCAGTACCGAGAGTACGGCACTCATGGTCAAGGCATTTACCCCACTGGGTAAGGAAGCACTTCGAACTGTAGTAGAAGGCGTTACCACTTCCAAGAGCATGTGCAACGATAGAGCTGATGATGCAGACACGACCCTTTCCACGAGGAACGAAGTGATGGGACACGAAGTACTGTGAGAGCATCACTTGTTGGATAACATTCAGACGAATCTGAGTTTCCAACTTCTCCGGCTGGAGGTTGACAATATCACACGAATACATACCACCTGCATTTAGAACAGCAAGGGCGACTGGAAGATCATCAACAGCAGCACGGAGTTTGGCGAGACCCTCGTCACAGGACAGATCACAGGCGACGACGACAACCTTGCAACTCGGACCGTAGGTCTTCACCAGAGTATCCTTCAACTCGTTTAACAACTTCTCGCTACGGGCGGAGATCACAAGACTCCAACCTGCCTTTGCTAACTTCATCGCGATTTGATGGCCCAAACCTTTGGACGCACCAGTAACAACAGCATACTCCCGACGAGTAGCCCTCACCGGCTTGAGGTTGTAAGGATAACCCATATCGAAAAGTGGCCCTTGAAGTTTGAGGACGACCCAGCATAAAGCTACACCCGTTAAGATGATAGGTGCGCACAAGGCCATGATAGCTATAACACTCAACCACTCGAAGAGGGTGAATGGATAGGCACCCATAGAGTGGACAACTGGTAAACTTTGCTTCTCAGCCATTATATAAAAAGAAGATGAACTGAATACAGATTCCACAGGAAAAAATTTTATTCTCAACACTTGCTATAGAGCTTTATTTGAGACACAGTTGTTTCATTTGAGAATGCTAAAGATTCGCACTAGCGACTTAGCTCGTGCTGAAGGCTGGAGGGTGCAGCTACGTTGTGTCGCTGTAGCCGTATGAAATTTCTTCGCTAGGCCATCTGGGAACCTATGGAAGGAATTTGGTCAGCAGTGTGTCCCCATAGTGGTATTTCTATGGCGGAGGTCAATATAGATGGAATGTACGCTTTGTAGGATCTCAAGTTCTGGGTGAACCCACCGAATATGTTTTATATCAACAGCGAATACTGGAGAGTATGGTAAAGACCTCGACAGCACATACCTTGGGACGTGTTTGCTGGGGACGTGACCTTATGCACTAAGTGTTCATACGCTATTCGACTCGAACAGCTGATCGATGCCAACATACCAACAACATGTATTCTTCCTTTTTTCTGCAATTTTCGATTAATCGTAGATTCTTTTCCCAATCAATATTATAAACGATCTCGGCTCCAGACGAAATTGGCCTAACGAACAGCTACATTGTCTTACATATTTCGTCTAAATTGAGGCTACTTTGGTCGTGGGAACGAAACTGATCTTCCTGGCGCGTGCTCCCGCGAAGTCGACCGTACTACGACGTATCTTTAAGCTATGGCATAGGCGCCCTCCTCCTAATGAAAGCGGAATAGGTCTCCCAAAGGTGCAGAGATGCAGGGGAAGATGGTGTCATGAAATGATAGTGTGACGAGTGGGTTACTAATGACTAGGACATTGTGACAGCCCAAGAAGTACTACACATAAGCCTCGGTAGCTCAGTCGGTAGAGCGCGTGCCTTTTAAGCCCGTGGTCGTGGGTTCGAGCCCCGTCCGAGGTGCATGTTACTTCACCATAACTGTTTTGGGTTGATCCACAAACCTCCTCCCCTAATTATTCGGCTCGAGAATTGTTAAGATTATTCCAATTAGAATTCGCTCTCAAGAGGACTCCATAAACATTCTTGCTTGAACTACTTGAGAGCCCGCTGCGTTTGATGAATCTGGGCTCCGACTGCGGACTGGTATCTAATCTAAGAGCGAGCAAAACCCTATCCAACCTCGAAGTTTCGTGGCGCGCGAGAAATTCATTCGATTGCGATTCGGAAGAAAGTGGTTGAAGTTGTTGCTGATGAAGGGTTTTTTGCCAAGGCCGAGACAATGCACTATGGATGAAGCTTCAGTGGCGGCTTATAATATACAGCACGGTAGGATATATATCTTACAATGGACGATTCCGACCCCGCCAGTCCGTCTCAGTGAGTGCGAGTCGGACTGTCCGTCGGACAAGGGGAGAGTTCTTCGAACAGTGTCTGGAGAACTCCCCCTCGTTTCGCGTATACTCTAATTGGACAGCAATTACCCTTTCTGCAAGAACTTGGCTTTCTCTCGCTGAGACTCCCAGCTTCCAGGAGCTAGTTCCCATTCATCCATGTGGAGATCCTCGCATAGGACTCTTCAGGATACTCAGGACCCCAGGAGTATATAGGGTCAGTTAAAGCACCTACATGGGAGATTAGACTCGTTACTTTGTGGTTGTACAGCAGGGGCGTACCGGGCAACTGACTGCCATACTCTGGGGTTTTTGAACCAGACATCGGCAGACACTATCTTTGTGATAACCTCACCGGCTTCGGGGCTAGGTGTATGGGGCTAAGTATGGATGGTTGACCATATTTTGGTGCTATTTGCGACAAATTTGGTATTGGGAGAAGGCAATGCATGCCTAGATCACGATGTTGAAAAGTAGATAATCCCTAATAGGTTTTTTCGTCGAAGAATTGTCCTTCATGCTTCGTCATGACACTAGAAGACTTAAAAATTTCAGAGCTCGAGGTAAAACAGGTAAGCGCGTCATAGCTGATGGATGCGTGTTCAACGGTGTTTGTGTCGTTACTTGCCAGTCTGTTGTGTAGTAGTAGTGGAGTCGGGATGGTGGGGATGGGTTGTTATAGTTGGGGATATCCTCATCATGCAAGGACAGTCCTCGTCGTCATCATCGTCTAGTCATAAACGGATGAGAGAGGGAGATGGGAAGAAGAATGGTGATGATGATGATCATCAACACCAGCATTCGGGAAATTCGGATGATATGCGGGCGGTAATGTTGGGTACGATTGCTGCATGAAAATCCTCATCGTGAGTTTATGGGTGTTGAAAGATATGTGAGAGGCCGACAGAAGTTGTTGTTGGTGCTGTTAAGTAGAGACGGATGTCTTCTCACGAGGTCGCGATAATGAGTGGACGAGAATAAATCTCTTCTCGAGCTGGGGTCGATAGCTTCCTTCTAGGTTTCAGCAGCTTAGTTGCCGCAACCGTGTTGGAGGTTTTTGCTCAGGCATTCGAGAGAGCTCGAGTGGAGAGTAGACGAGCCTATCTTGATAAACGTGAGGCTGATATTGAGCTCCTCCGGAAGAAACAATTCCGCGCCTTGGATGATGTGTATTCGTAAGCAACGTTGGAGTCGTTCGAACCTTCCAGAGTTTTCTTCGTAGGACGGGGGCAGCGGATAAGCGCATACGAGGTGAATTGGAACAGGATAGGTATCTGTACGATCAAGCCTTGCATAATAAGGTCGGCTTTGAAGTGAGGGAGGTGGGAGGGAAATGTGGTGAGTGCTCAGGCCCTGAGAGGGAAGGACTTGACTGGAAATTATATGATGCCGGACGTCCAAGATGAGTTCGAGCAGAAGAAGGGGCAGTTGAGTCAGAGAGAGCAACGAGTGCAAGCTCTCACTCGGGCTAGGTGGGTGTGGGCCATGGTGTTGCTTATAGAAGTCGAAGTTGGGATTGGAATTTTTCTCACTACCTCGTGGCAAGATAGGAATGTAGAGAAACCAACGAGAAATTTCCGGAATTTCCTCAGAATTTTTTATCGTATTTTCGCTAGCCGTGTGCATATTTTCTGTCAGGTACGATGATGATGTTGATAAGTATGAGAAAAGCGAACAACAGTTGCTTGAGGAGAAGCAGATGCATGCAGGTAAGGAGGGTTGAAGTTGGTCAGGGAGCGGTAGTAGTGGTTGTGGTAGGCACGTTTAGGGTGGGGACTGTTCGGGACGAGGGTAAGAAGGAAGAGGAGGATCCTTATCAGCTTATATTGGATAATCAGATCAAGTTCGTAGAGTCTGAGGTAGTACTGGAAGAAGTAGTAGGGATGCTTACATGGTGCTTGTGAAGATTCATGGAGGGGATATGAGCAGTGTGAAGCTTGAGGGGAGTAAGAAGGAGAAATTGGCTAAGGTGAAATACCTCAAGACGTAAGCGTGTTAGGCTTTCAACCTGGAGGTCGTGGGATCGATTCATGGTTGTGTATTTTAGCGAGTCCGGCGGCGTTGTCAAGATGGAGGATGGGGAGGTGGCGAAGAGTGCTTTGCAGAGGATGTCGGCTAAGGAGAAGGCGGCCCTCATAGCTGAAGCCCGCAGAGTGAAGCTCCAACACGACAGGTCAGTTTGGTATATCAAGAGTTGGTTCAGGGATAGCGGTGGGGAAACGTATCGTCACTGTGGAAAGCGCTTAGTTGTAGTTATACTCCTGCGCAGTGTGGTAAAATATGCACGTGTTGGTGACAATATCAAAGCGCTGAGAAAAATTAGGAAAATTCTTGTTATTTTCTGTACACTCCTCGAATATTCTCCCAATTCGTATATGACCTCCTATGATTAGTGAGAAAGGTATTGAGCTCAGCTGAGGAAAGCGAAAATTTTTTTGGACTCATTTGGTGGTGATGGAGAATTTGCTGCTAAGTTGTGGCATTCAGACGGTCATTGCCGATTTTCAAGTATCGCGATGATTTGATCGACGCTGTGAAGAAGTATCCGGTCCTGGTCTTGGTGGGTGAGACGGGCTCTGGCAAGACTACGCAGATGCCGCAGTACTTGCACGAGGTGGGTCCTGTTGGACGCGGGGGTTCACTTGTGCGATAAGAGTATGTTCATCCACTTTCTCATGGTCGTATACGATTAGGATGAGATGAGTTTGCGGTATGAAATGTGTATTGGAAGAATATGCACATGGTCAACTACATGTGTTGGTGACAATATGAAAACTCTGAGAAATTTTTGGGTAACTTCTTATTGGTGTATTTACACTTCTATTTGAATTCGTATGGAAAGTAGTATAACTGGAGGAAATCAGCGGAGGGAATCGAACACGTTCAACAACAGTCAGTCTAGGCGAGAAATTAATGTGGTAAAAATGACCCCTGTGGGGATCGAACCTGGGAGCCCAAAACTGATGCATAAAGAAACACGTCCTTCCCCTGTGTTCTCAGGCTGGCTATACGAAGTTTGGCAAAATTGGCTGTACTCAGCCGAGGCGTGTCGCTGCTATGTCGGTCGCTGCTCGAGTAAGCGACGAGATGGGCGTTAAACTCGGGCACGAGGTGGGATACAGCATCAGGTGAGTGTTTAAGGCATGGGAGAATTTCCAACGTATCGGCGGCCTCTGTCTAGGTTCGAGGATAAGACCTCCGACTCTACCATTATCAAGTATATGACTGACGGCATGCTCCTCCGTGAGTTCCTGGGCGAACCGGATCTGGCTTCGTATAGTGTTATGATTATTGATGAGGTAGGTCCACGAGGAAGGACAGGGACAGGGAATCACCTAGGAATCTTCAATGCTCCCAGGAGCAATCCATCATTGACTTTTCCGTATGGCTAGGAACGCATTCTTCAATTTGTTTCTCATGTAAATGTCTCCCATTGTTATCAAACCCTGGGAAGCCTTTGTCAAAGCTTTCTCTGGCCGGGAAGTGTTTGTGGAATTATGGTGTGCTCAGGCTCATGAACGTACCCTGCATACTGATATACTGTTCGGGTTGGTGAAGGATCTGCTCGCCTTTAGAAAGGACTTTAAGGTTGGTATTGGTCGAAGTGCTCTTGTTAGTTCTGCGTAGGTGATCATCTCGTCGGCTACGATAGATGCCCAGAAGTTCAGCATGTATTTTGAGAATGCTCCCATATTCAATGTAAGACGCCTTTACCACTGAGATGAGAGAAATGTGGTATTAGGTACCTGGACGGAGGTACCCTGTCACTATTCATTACACTATAGCGCCTGAGGCTAACTACATTGAAGCTGCAGTAACTACTGTATTGCAGATCCATCTTACACAGCCTCTAAATGGAGATATACTCGTCTTTATGCCTGGCCAGCAGGTAGGTGGGAAAATATGTTGGTGATAATATGAAAATTCTCATTGGTTTCGGTGTAAGAATTTGTATGTAAACTTATATAGTTAGCGAGGAAAGCGAATATATATTCCAACACTGGATGGGGTCTATCGCTGTTATTAGGAAATTGAAGATGCTATGGAACTGATCACTTTCCGAACGCGAGGGCTCGGCAGTCGAATGGCTGAGCTCAGGGTTCTACCTATCTACGCCTCCCTACCTACGGACATGCAAGCTAAGGTAAGTGTGGTATGAATTTTCGGATTTCTTTTAATTTTATTTTTTCGGTAGATTTTCGAACCAACACCACCAGGGGCGAGAAAGGCGATCATTGCGACTAATATTGCAGAGACTAGTTTGACCATTGACAATATCGTCTATGTTGTGGATCCGGGTGAGAATTTTGTCCACAATGTGGGTGGGTATAGATTCAGAGTCGCCGTGTTTTGTTATATACCCCCCTATGAAAAAATTTCCATGAAAAACCCCGTGAGCTAGTCGTTGAGCGTTTGTGGTTCGAATGTATCGTATAGATGACGATGATGATGATAAGTGTAGATTGAGAGCAAGTGCTGCATGCTACTAGGAGTTATCAGGCAGTCGAAGTAGTTACAGTAGTGGTGACTAGCATGTGAGTTTTTTAGGGTTCTGCAAGCAAACGGGTTATAATCCTAAGACTGGCATGGAGTCGCTGCAGGAAGTGCCTTGCTCCCGAGCTTCGGCTGATCAGCGTGCTGGACGTGCGGGCCGAGTTAGACCTGGAAAGACCTTCCGGTAAGACTTCATTTATTTTATTGGGTGATTGAGGTGGCTGTAGGTTGTTCACTCGTTGGGCATTCGAACACGAGATGGAGGCTCAGAACGCTCCTGAGATCCTCCGAACCAACTTAGGAGGAGTGGTGAGTACTTCTATAGTGGCTTCTTCTGGAGTGTTCATATACGCGACAGTGTATCGAAGATATACTATGTATATCGTAGTGTATAGTATGCATAGTATGTATAGTATGTATAGTATGTATAGTATGTATAGTATGTACAGTATGTATAGTATGTATAGTATTTATAGTATGTATAGTAGTGTATAGTATGTATAGTATGTATAGTATGTATAGTATGTATAGTATATATAGTATGTATAGTATGTATAGTATGTATAGTATGTATAGTATGTATAGTATGTATAGTATGTATAGTATGTATAGTATGTATAGTATGTATAGTATGTATAGTATGTATAGTATGTATAGTATGTATAGTATGTACAGTATGTATAGTATGTATAGTGTGTATAGTATGACTGAGTGTATGGCAGGTATTGATGATGAAATCGATAGGAATCGACGATCTGCTCAACTTTGACTTTATGGATCCCCCTCCACCACAAACTCTGGCAAAAGCTCTGGAGCAGCTCTATGCCTTGCAGGCCTTAAGTTCAACAGGGCAACTCACGAAGTATGCACCTAGTCGTAGGTGTGGGTGTACGAGGTGTTCTTAGGTTGGGCCGTAGGATGGCAACCTTGCCGATGGACCCATGCATGTCCAAGGCTATATTGGCGGCTGATAAGCTCAAGTGTGTTGATGAGGTGAGCGCGTTGTTGTTGTGAAAAGTGGATGCCAGGGACCCGTTTAGCTTTGAGAAATAATGTTCCCCAGGGTTCGATAACAGTGGGAAAATGTTCCCAATGTGATGACATTTACATGAGACACATCTGATTGAAGAATATGTTTCTAGCCATGTGGAAAATTGAAAATGAGTTCCCCCTGGTAACATCATAGTTTTCTGGATGATTCCCTGGTGCGTGCTCATTTGATATGCCAATGTGGAGAATGTAAGTTTTCTAGTCCAGAATTTATGATAGTGATCAACTCGAAAGGTTACCATTATCACATCACATGTTTATAGCAATGTTTACATTGTTTATGCGATATCTTTCCAGATCGCTTCTTATTAATCTCGGAAAATAACACTCATTTTTTCCAGCTGCATATCGAACAGACACGTACTGTATGTCATTGATTGTATTCAGGTGATAGTTATCACGGCGATGTTGTCAGTGGGCAACACAGTATTCTTCTGTCCTAAGGATAAGAAGCTTCATGCGGGTAGGTCTACACTTGACATTGCAACGGGCGAGTCGTGATTGCCTCGGTGTTCAGAGCAAGCTCGGAAGTCCTTCCAGAGTCCTGCTGGAGATCATTTTACTCTGTTGAAGGTGTATCGAGATTGGGAAGGAACTAACCACAGTCAGCACTGGTGCAATGAGAACTTCGTCCAGTAAGGTTGGAGGGTTAGCAGAATGATGCTTTTTTGAATGCATTCAGCAGCCAGTGGGGACAATTTCAAGAGATGTGGTATAATGATGATGTTTAGGTATCGGTCTATGACCAGAGCTCGAGATATCAAGGAGCAAATAGAACACTTGACGGAGTTGGTCGAAGTGGATAGGAGTTCCGATCCTCACAACATCAATGCCATACGGCAAAGCATAGCAGCTGGGTGGGTGTGCATGAAGTAGCTTATTGCGATCTCTGAATGGGAGCTCAGATACTTCTTTAACGCGGCACGACTGAATAAGAATGGTTCGTACCGAACGGTGAAGAGTCCGCATACTGTTGAGATTCATCCGATGAGCGCCATGTTTAAGAAGGCCGCCCAGGTTGTTATATATAATGAGCTGGTAAGTGTGAAAGTGACGGATCAAGTAGCCCGTTGGAAGATTTGAACTTGGGTTGTCTGTATAGCAGATCGGAATACTAACCGTTATGCCATTAGTATGGAAGGTTATGTGTCAATCTGACAAGGTACTGACTACAAAGGAGTTCATGCGTAACGTTATCCAAGTACTGCCTGAAGAGCTGATGGAGGCTAGCCCGGAGTATTACAAGGCTGAAGACTTTGGTGGGCAGAAGAACATCAAGGGAATCCCCAAGATGGCAAATGCCACTGCAGTGAGCCGGACATAACTCTCCAACTTCTCATCACTACAACGTACATATGTGTCTGCTACTATTGTTTTCCTTCTAACGAGACATGGTTCCTTTTGTGTTGATGGTCAATGAGTGTCGCTATCAGTGTAGTCTGAGGCAAGCGTTTAGAAAACTCGGCCACTTCTGCGTGTTTTGCTGAGAGAAGTGAACGACCTGAAAAGTCGGTTAGTTCTTTAACTGGTTTTGTTCACTTCTATTACAGATGATTGCGACGGTACTTTTTGTCTCGTCTGATGTGGAATGATCTAATCTTAATACCCTCGCCGAAGCATGGCGTGAATCGAGCTCTCCGTAGTTGGACTGTGTTAGGTCTGTCCAGGACCGGGTCCCCGAGGCTCTACCATTATATCAAAGTAGCGTCCCCGCATACACCTCTACGCCTACCACATTAACCACTCTGTCGTCTATTTGTTGTGGAAGTCTGTCTGCCTCAATCTGTTCCCTCCTACTAGCTATGGCTAATAGGAAGCTGTTATAACTTGTTTATTCTCCCCCTCCCAAATAATGACACTCTGGTCAGTCTTATGAGTCAATGATAACGGGAGCTGTGGTGTCGAAAGGCGCAACGAATGATCAACATTCTCATTATATTTCACTGTGATTTACAGTAGTCGGCCGATACTTTCTTGTCGGGAATATCGCCGTGTTGTGTATGTGCACTACCATTACTATCACTACGCCTTGTCGTTGCTCCGTTCACTATGTTGGTTTTGTAAATTAATAACGGAGTTGGTGAGCAGAATGTCTATGGCGGAAACCCATGAGAGTCCCCTCCAGCGTCTTGCGGGCTTTCGTGATTCGGTTCGTCATCGTCCTTTGAGCTGTCGTTGGAGCTCTTTCTCTCTAGTTAGGTTGAGGGATTGGTGGCTGAGTTCATACGAGGTTTCGAGAGCGGCTATGTCGATACAGTTGAGACCGAATTTCAGAGGTTTGACACTCATTGTCTTCGCCAGGATGAGTCCCCTCAGACTTTCCTGCCGACCTGATATGGTACATCCTGGAGAGTTTTCCCTATCAGCGAATCAGCTTTATGGTGTAGATGGTGATCGACATAACCATCTTTAGGATTTCGATGGCGATCAGATCATCCGTCGCTTGGTAGTAAATGTTGGACATCTCGATCTGTGCGTTGAGGATATGGAACGGGTTAGAGACATTGCCTCGGCTAGGCTAGTGCAGGTACATCGTCGATCGAATTTTTTATTATTGGCTTGCTGTACTTGAACGCTTCGACAGTGTAGGGCTTCCTAGATATCACACTTTGACTTGAACTCTGATGTTGATAGGCTACCTCAAGAGCGGTGCCCTTCGAGGCTTCCTGGTCTGAATACGACCAGGGCCTGGAAAGTCGTTTTTCTTCCTCGTTGTCTGTTGGTACTTTGGGTGTACTGTCCTCCTTCTTGTCAGGGGAGTGACCCTGGCAGTACCGGCCAGATAATGTGGAGTGAGTTTCTCGACTATATAATTGCTGCCCATGATGTACCGTGTCCTGAGCGGTATTTCGAAGGCAACAACTATGTACTTCTTGTAGATATTGCACAAGCAGCCGGAGTGCTCGCCGATCATACACGAATTTCGACCGTCTCAACTCAACGTTGTAGCTTCAGCGTAAGGAAGTTTTTCAGTGCACCGACTTTCACTCGGCATGCAGTTATGAACCGGTAGATGATAAAATGGTGTTCAACGGAGTACTGATCCATCCGGGCATATCCTCGAACTCGGAGAAACGACTCATTGTGCTGGAGGAAGGATCTCGTGACTATCTAGGTGGTCGGTCGATGGTCATAATTACCGTCAGGAGACTTCCATGTGCATTCCGCTACCACTGGGTTACGAGATACCCGTCTTTGCAATATCATATCCATGCAGAGCCATTCCAAGGAAGTAAGGGTGGTTCATCGACCGCTTTCGCCCTCCCTAGTGCACCTCATGAAAAAAGGAACAACCTCCTGTTGGTCATGACATCGATAGTCCTGATCGGTTATCATCGATGGAATGGTCAGATTCTTGCGGCTTGTTCGCTGCTTTGGCCGTCTCATGACGACCAAACTGATTCCTATCCAATTCTCGTGACCAGCGGTCTGGACAAGACCTTAAGTTAGGCCGCTGAGTAGCTTTGCTAAACCAAGGACACTGCTGCCTGGCAGATTCTGGGATGAAGACTTCAGCACAATAAAGACATGGGAATTTCCCAAAAAATGTGTGTCGGCTCGCTATGCTGGGCAGCAAGAATACGCACTTTGTTCGGGACGGACTATTTTGCAGCATGCGTGTATCAGTGGAGGATCCCCTCGTTTCGTGAAGTGAGTCTCGAAGCGGGTGTTGAGAGGCCCATTGACCTGCGTGTGCAGTTACGTGCCATGGAGAGCCCTGCGGTTCTGAAGCGAATTCATACTGATTCAGCGGGTCACAGCTCAAGTATCAACCACATGCTTTGGATCGACCACATAGAAACTGTCGTGACTGCAGGGATGGACAAGTAGGTGTATTAATATTGTAGTTGTGCACTGTGGCTCTCAGGAAGATTATCTTTTGGGACACTGTACAGTCTCGGACAGTGCACGAACTCCGTGACGCGCACCCCAAGGGTGTCGTGCATTTAGCATATAGCGACGCATTATGTGAGAAATAAGGGTGTCCTTAACATCAAGGACTTCGTGTAAGGACGTTGCGTAAAGTACCCGATGCAGGATTCGAACCTACGACCATCTGCTCCGTAGGCAGACATTCTATCCAGCTGAACTAATCGGGCGATGTTTAAAATTCACACAACTCTACCTCACTGACTGCAAATGCCCTTCAGGTGTTCTTGTTAGTGCTGGTTTTGACAATGTTATACACCTCTGGAGTTCCTTGAGTGGAGTCAGGTAAGCATCGATTGCCGTGAGCCTTCCAAATCGCTGGTCGTATTCAGAACAGGAAGCCTTGAAGGGCACACATGCACCGTCACTGCTCTTGAGGTGGGCTCTCATTATCTTTGTTATGCATCCCGACACATTAGGTCATTGACGGAATGGATAAATGCTCGGGCGAAGAAGTCCTCAATGACTCTCAGTGTATCAGTGCTGACTCAAGTGGCATTGTATGATGGTTGAGTTGTCATACAGGAGTAGCGTTACTGGTCAGGTAAGGTTGTGGAACATCGGCCGGAAACAGTGCCTACAGTCGTTCAACTCGACGTTCGGCCTGGCCAAGGGAGTAGACGATGGGCCTGTTGACCCTCGGTGCCTGGTCGTTATCAACCGTGATTTGGTTGCCCTGGTGAGGATTCGAGAGGTGTGGAAATGTAATTCCACTGTCAGGTCGGGCGCCGTCTCTTATTCTTCTGTCGGGACGAGACTCGTCCTTCAGCTACTTGCGATGGACAAATACCCTCACAGGCAAGTCAGTTTCACTCTCCAAGTGAACATTTGTGTTTTTGTCTCCTACTATACCCAGGCGATCGCCATCAATGGTCGGTTGGGCCATGTAGTGACTTCAACTGACAGGGACATTACTACGTGGGATATATTCACCGGCAAGAGGCTGTTGGTAGGGGAAACTTTGCAAGGACTAAGAGCTCAAAATTCGTCGTAGGTCTTCCCCGAGACGACCTCCTCCCCGATCAAAGCCATGTGTATCGAGCCCCTTGAAGAACGTCTCATAGCTATAGGAACCGACACAGGGTCTCTGGCGGTCCACAACTACGCCGTTATGGCCAAGGTGTGAACGGCTGCTTTGATGAAACCTCCCGAGCGTTCGGCCAAAGGCTTGAATTTCGTCATTGCTTGGTTTGATTCATATCCTAGGTGAAGACTCTACGGGCTCATTCGAGTGGCATCACCAACATCACCTGGCTCGGACACCTCATTTTCTCGCTGTGTGTTGAGAGGCAGCTGATCATCTACGATGCTACCAACATCACCGATAACAAGGACCAGCTGGGCGGTGTCCTGAAGGTAAGGAACCGGTATGTGCCAGTTACTGAAAGCTGCGACTCGTTCATTGGTACTCGATTTGATACCCTCAAGCACTGCTGCTATCGACTGCTCTCTCTATGGACGGCAGGTGGTCTATGGAACTGACAATGGGACGATATCATGGTGAGCTCCTTCTTGTGGTGGCACGAGGTGTGAACGCAATGGTCAGGTACCGCATTGACTCGGGAAAACTTGAGAAGTCTCGACCAGCGTCTCAGGGAGGCGGTCCCGACGCGCTACTGACAGGTCTTCCAATCCCAAATGGTATCTGTATGGTCAGCCTGCTCAACGGCACTACCCCGAGCGGTCTGCAAGTGTCGACTACACTCACGCTGAGTGCCTCTGGTGTGGTATCGCTCTTCGGCCTGTTACCTATGGAGAGGTTCGAGCCTCTGGTGTCTTGGAGATTTGCTTGGAAGTCGGCTGATAGCAAGGTCCCTATGATGGTCAGTGTAGAAGACAACGTAAGCTCTCCTGAGTGAATTGCCTTGGAAGTGTTAGTCCACACTCTCCAATCTGCAGGAGAGTCCAATGACAATCTCAGCATCAGCCGTTTCTGAGGAAAGTTCGACCGGTGCTGGGTGGGATGTTTTCATACAAGGAGGCGTCTCAGTCGGAGGGTGAGGGGCACGAGTCATCTGCAGAGAACTTTCGGTGGCGGACAGGAACAGCTCGAGAAGGTCGTCTACAGTACACCCAAGAAGCATAACGAAATGGGTTCTCTTCATGGCTACTGAATGTGGCGCTATAATGAGGTGGGACTTGACCGATATTGTTAAGGTAGCAAGCAGTCTTATCTGGTCATCCAAAGGCCACTTCCTCAGTGGACAGCTGAGTCGACTGCTCGACCACCCATCGGCGAGTGTGACCATCGTCGATCCCTTGGTTTCGATGCTCTCCAGCAGGTGAGCTTGCTGTCCTACTGCTAGCTCGACTGGTCATGTCAGAGCATTCGGCTAGAGTGGTACACGTTGGTGCCGGGCAGGGCCAAGGTAGATCGGCTCATGCTCCGCCCTTCTCAGGGGATTCATATGGTGAGCGAACTCCCACTGAAGACAACATGAGCTCTTAGTTGTTGACTTTGAGTAACGGTGACCATATGGTGAGGTTGTGGAACTCATCGAGTGGTGACTGTATCGGCGCACTCCACCAAGGCGGTCCGTCCCAATGGTCTTTGCCGCCACAAGTTGTGCTAGAGATGGTGAGCTACTTCTAGCTGGCCGTTGTGATACCCGTCATCAGGACATGGTCGCTCGAGAGACGCCCTGGACCGAGCAGCAGGAGGAGGAGGGATCAACGGCTCCGATCGGGTCACTGGTTGCTCCTGTGGATGACACCCGAATCGTGTCATGTGGTGAGCTCGCAATGGACGCAAGCTTGTTCCGGCTGCTTGTCTCCAAGATACTGTCGATAACATCAAGAAGACTAAGTTGAGCGCGACGGCCCGAGGTCCATCGGTTGTAGTTGAGGACTTGTTGACGAAGGAGGGGAGACCGTCGAAAAGAGGCACGCAGAGGTGAGTATCTCTTGAGGGTGACGTGCTGCTCGTCAGTGCAGATTTGACGAGACTACTGTGCAAGCCGCTGGTCGTCTCGCGACGGCCTTGAACACCCTTAACAGCATGTAACGCTATCGCTCGGTGTCACCTTATGCTGGCTATTGCGTATCTTTCGTGGAGGGGGTTCGCGACTGCGACTATTACCGCTTTATATATGGCCTCAGTGTCTATAGAGTCTTGTAGAAGTTTGAGTGGAGACCAGTTGCTGCTGGGCAACTTGATGGTCTCCCAGCGGTGTTGTGTTTTGTGTGATGGTCTTTCTTCTCCCCATGTCCTACTAAAGGCTCGACTGCTACTCAATCGAGGTCAAGTTGTGCCAAGTCGTGAGTGGTTTGTGCCAAGTCGCAATCGGCCATAGATATGTGTATTTCTGTTCGTATTGACCTCTGGTGAACTCATGACTACTGCATAGGTCAGTACTCTCCTCAGTCTGATCTGGTCACCTACCACTCCTACTGTGCGGGGAAATTGGGTAGAGGCAGATGCCCACAGAGCTGTTCAAGTGGGCTAATGAGAAGATGATAACGCAAACCGAAACGGTAAGGAGAAAACAGATGTAACTAAATGATCCCGAATAGCGCTCGAGTGCTGGTCGACACGAGATCAGTTGTGTTGTATGTTATAGAGATTTGATGTTTCGTACGATTGGACGGTTGAGTTAGTCTCTCTCGCTCCATCGATCCTATTGTGTTTACGACGAACACCCTCAAAAGTGTCCATTACCGGGACAGACTTGGTAGCGTTCCCCTTAGCAAAGGCTAGGGTAAGAGCATCAGCTAGGGAGAGGCCGTTCAGAAAGCATCCATAGGATAATCGATAGTCACGGAACTGCAGCAAGGACCCATCCAGCGCTAAGAAATAACGTTCCCCAGGGTTTGACAACAATGGGGAAATTGTTCCTAATGTGATGACATTTACATGGGAAACTGTTCGAAGAATGTGTTCCCAGCCAAGTGGAAAATTCTAAGCGAGTCTTCCCCCCAGATCATCATAGTTTCCTGGATGACCCCTAAACTGCACCTCACACCAAATTTTCTCGATGCTCCTCGAACATCTGACAGGCCTCAAGATCAATGCTGACACGAATGGTATCGGAATCAGACGGCATGTTCAATAGACCTCTCCTAAGTGTTAAGAGCACCCCCAGGATAGAGTTTACCTGTAGAACTCAATCCTAGGGGCGCTTCCTAAACTCAGAAGAGGTCTATTGAACACCCCGAAAATAAAATTTGAGGCATAGCACACTTACTGTTGATGACAAGAATAGACTTCAAAAGGCCAACTAAACCGTAAAAAATCAATCTTGTAATGGTTAAACGATTCACCAGTAGATCGCTGCTGGAAGCGCAATGACAACGACACAATGTCACAATGTAATCGGTAACTCCACAGGAGGTCATCGAGAAGTCATATGGGAACGTTGAATCTCTGCAGCGTGATAATGGAAGACGTCATCTATTGATGAGGGACACTCGGACGAGGCTGAAGAGAGGGATGAGACGCGAGTCAAAAGGATGGCAAGCGAGACTCGGTTGTTGATTCGGGTTGTCCCTATGGAGCCCTGCGCTGTCTACTTGTCTCCTGGCGATGTGTTTAGCCACCACAGCTAAGATGCTATTGAACCTAGCTCAAGTGTGAGATGGAAAATAGTTGTTGAGTTTTGCGTGTGAATATCGTATGGAAGTTTGTTGGTTTTAGTTGAATTTTCTTTCATAAATACTTCTAAACCATGTCGAGCGACTTAGTTCTAAAACTCCGTACCAGAACTCAGACCATGCGGGTCCGAGTTGATTCGCAGAAATTGATGGAGACGTCTCAGATCAAAGACTACATTGAGCAGTCTTGGATGCAGTTGAAGGGTAAACCATATCGCATCTTTTATGTGGACGAGTACGGCGAGATGTGTCTCCTGAACGACCTGTCTTTGGGCGATGCCATTGCGACCGTACGAGAGCTCAACCAGTCGGGCAAGACCACTCCTGTATTGGACTTGTTCATTCAAGCTGAAGGTGAAGAACTTCCGCTGTCCTCGAGCCAGCCCGATGATGACGAGATTGTCCGAGACGTGGCAGTTGCTAGTACTCTAGCGCAGGTGTTGGACGATATGGACTACATGGAAAGTCTTGATGCTGCTGAGCAATTCGTCGATAGCTTGATGGCTGCCAACTCCGACTTGGATGTGATCTTGGATCGTCTTCAAAATGATGATGTTGAGAATTCGCGTGAGGATGTGGTTCCCTCTACCACGCCTGCTAAGAAGATTGGTGCTTCTGGGAAGAAGCCAGTCGCGAAGTCGATACAGCAGACAGCAAAGGCTCCTGTTACTACTAATAAGATTGAAGCTAGTGGTTACCAGAAGGTTGGTGGCAAGGCTCCCAAGCAGTTCCACGTTGAACGACAAGTGTCTTCGCCAGAAGAGGCCTCTGATATGATGGTGGATCTTCTCACTAAGATGGGCTTTGTGGACAGCAAGAAGGCTGCCGAGGATCTTGTGGGGAGTCTCATCAACTCTCCTGATGATTTACAGCGAGTTACTGATCATATCGATGATTTGGTCGGAGGCAAGGAGCCTGCTACCACTCTTGGTCTCAACGACACTGTAAAGCATTTCGTCGATATGCTGGACGATTCAGGTATGGTTCAGGACAGAGCTGCCGCTGAGAGTCTAGTCAATGTATTGATGGACGCCGATCAAGATCTTGGAAAGGTTTTCAGCGACCTTGCTGATCGCACTGCTAGTGACCAGAAGCAGAAAGCCATTACTAAGAATTCCAGGAGATCTCATAGGAGGCGACATTCTTCTAAGCAACAGCAATCAGCCAAGCTCAATACTGCGTGAGTGGTTCGTTGGTTTTTTCATTACACCAAATATACTCATTTCGTTGCTTTTACTTTCATGTGTTGAAAATATAATTTTCCCTTTCGACTGTTGATAAGTCTTGGGTTGCCGTTGTTCCTCTCGCTGGGGTTAGAGATTTGCATATGTGATTCTTACACTTTGGAGTTCGCAAGTTGAGGGGTCGAATACCGTATTCGAAATACGTAATATATGATATACGATCTGTACACAATTATTTCGAAATCATCCGAATCTGTGCTGTACAAGTTTTCCTGGTGTTCGTCATCTTACATACCTATAACCTCATACTCAAGCGATGTAGTCCCAAGAAAAGGGAAGTATGTATCACAAGCTGAGGCCCTCCAAGGACCTCGGCCGAACAAATAGAAATTCAGATTGGCTCGGAGTCCACAATAACAATCCCACTGTGCAACGCAAAACACGAATCAGTAAAAGCAACAGGAACTACAATATTTACACGCGAGCTTATCAGTTGCCACCGCATCTTTTAGCAACGGTAGCTCTGAGTTTCTCAGGGTTGGCTCCAACTAGGGTCTCAAGCTTCTCGTTGCCTTGGTAGATATGGAAGGCGGGAAGACTTGTCACACCATTATCGAGGGCCAAGTCGTCCAATGCATCTGAACAGCAACGAGTGAGTCATCGAGATAGTCTCTTCATGTGTTTACCAACGTCAACTCGGACGAAGGTTGCCTTGTCCTTGTACTGCTGAGCGAGCTCGGCAAATACTGGTGCGATCAGCTGGCAGGGGTGACACCACTCAGCACTGTAATCAACCTAAGAATACAGTATGTATACTAGATGTGTACATCGAGGGTTTACGATGAACAACTTCTTAGACACGACCAGCTTGTCGAACTCTTCGGGATCCTGGAGCTCGATCACCTCACCATCTTCTTTTGCTGAAGAATTAACTATATAATGGAGATTCACCTGCTCTACGCGAAGTGGCGTAATATTCTGTAAAAATCGCGATATTCGCGGTATGTAGTGAAATATATTTTTCACTAGTGGTTTTCATACCACGGGTGGAACTCCAATGTATGAATAAGAACATTTACATCAACACATTTACGCTTCACAAATAATACCAAAAAGTGGTGACGTTTACTACAACGGCTCAAAGCGCCCACGACGTTTTAGATTAAAGTGATAGTCGCCCTGCATTTATTTACCCTACCGTGCTCCTAAGCCTACCATTGGAGTTTCATGTCACGTAAAACACTCGCAACTTTCGCGATAAACGTGAATTACTCTGAGTATTTAGCGTTTTACACCATTTATTTCACGAGGAAGATTGTGTAATTCGCGATTATTTTCCGTGAAAAAAATCCCACATGGAATAAACGTGGCGCATTCACCTTGGGGAATATCTGCAGTAGACTTGGTCGTGGACGTTGAGTCATCCTCGGTCTTAACATTATCATCACCACGAGTCCACGTACAAACACCATTCTCGCAGTGAGCCTTGCCGCGACGATGGACGGGCCTTCTAGGTCTGAACCTCTCGGGAATAAACGTACAATGCTCCCACATTGTGTACCTAGACCGTTGACTACAACACTCTCACTCGACGACACTGTGGCTTACCATGCATTCGCGATAGGGTCGCGAACGCTTTCCGGGAGGAGATTCCACACTGGCTTCAGAACCAAAGCCAGAAGTGGCCACAGGGGAATACAAACAGGACCGAGACAAATTACCGGCATCGTAAAAACACCGAGTAAAACTGAAATGAGATGCCTCCCACACTGAGAACGATTCTATAGATTCATACAGGCGTTGTTGCTTATGAACAGTTGCTCGACTCGCCCGAACGCAACACAGAAGAGAGCAGTCTTGCACGAAACAACGACTCATCGGTCATCGAGATGGTCATCATCCTCTGGAGGCCTCGGTACCCAAGACGCTCGCCATGGAGGCCAAATCACCGCCACGACCAGACCGTCGATGAGAGGTTGAGGGATCGGACCGAAATACCTGAACGATAGATGTTTGCTTTCCTCAGCCGAGATCACTACAGAGAGTTACACATGACTTAGAGTAGAAGTGTACAAAAACCAACGAGAATTTTCCCAAAATTTCCTCAGAATTGTCTCAACTTCACCAACCCACGTAGCTGAGCATATGCATATGCAACTATAAGGAAATAAATTCAAATTCCACGCTTGAATGCTGATGAAGTTGCAACTGTACGACAACTTGGCACCCTCCGAGACCTCACCTGCTGTCAACGCTCTTATCAGGATTATCCCCCAGCACATAACTGAACAGAACATAGGAGTTTCACACGTGATATGAAAAACATTAGTGAAAAACATATTTCACAAAACACTCGTGAAACATACACGTCCTATAATATTACTCCACAGTGAAGAGATATAACTCCCTTATATAGCGACCTCGATGCTTCTTACACTCTGCCTCCCATATCCTCAAACGCTACACTATGAGTTGTAGTATCAATGCCGCCAGCACCACCCAGTTCATCGTAGTCGTCAATTGAATGTATACTTGCTGACGATCGATGCCGAGGTTCCACAGCTACTACACGCTTCACCAAATGCCTGCCATGAACCAAATGAACAAAATCACTAGAGTCCGATACCATGCTATTGAGGCTGTCTTCGCAATGGAGTGGTATGAGAGTGCAATATAACAACACAAACGAGAGGAGTGTCCCCTAAGGTGGCACCCTTCTACTATATGGAAGAGGACTCCCCTTCCATATAGTTACCGCCTAAAATCGGTCGAATCAAGCTGAAATAACACAAAGCTAACATTTTTTGGCATTTTCGTCGAACCTTGGGGAATATACTTCCCGAGGTGTATCGTTCAGTGACTCGGAATATGAAATTTTCGTTGTTCTTAACCAGCCATTCAAATGTCTATGACCAACCAAACGTTGGACACAATGGACGCTACCCGACGGATAGCATATTCTGTCTACCCCCCGACAGGTAATACCCATAAGCACCATTCCACTAGAGTGCACTACCACGCTATTAATAATGTCTTCACGTCGGAGTGGTATAAGCTAGACAAATAATATTATACTTTCATCACACATAGCAGCGTAATATCACTATAAAACCAACACAGTCAATAGGAGTGCCCCATCCCATACCCCACCTCTTAGGATCAAACGGATCTCGAAAGGTGACCACATCGCCAGGGCCGATCGCCAGGTTCCGCAACACTATTATTCTATCGCGAAACCAGCTACTACCAGGATTCAATGTTGGGCTCATCGAATGACCCTGGACCTAAAACGCAGCCTTTTGAAGAGGCAACCTACTACTACCAACAGTTTACAATTTCAATGTCCACTACGCGGTCCTTGATCCACACCAGGGGCGGTCCGAACATCCAAACCGCAGTTGCCGCTTTCCTTGTGAACAGCCGAAAGAACTCAGCCGTCGATGAGGCACCATACATTCACAAAACTCAACAGTGTAACTAGCGCTCGCCTTGACAATACAAAGCCGCGACACTAATGATTTTGATAAGAATATATTTTCCATATTCTTAACAAGTTTGCAAAAAAATGCACATGGTTAACTACACGTGTTGGTGATGTGAAAATTCTGAGAAAATTTGGGAAAATTCTCACTAATTTCTGTACACTTCCACAATCAGTGGAGAAACTCCTGAACTGAGCTGAGGAATGAAAATTCCGAGAATGTTTTGGGAATTTCTCATTGGTTTCTGTACACTTCTACCCCCGAATTCATCTATAAACTCCCATAATTAGTGAGAAAACTCCCGAGCTCAGCTGAGGAAAGCGAGCATATATTCCTGTATACACTGTCAAGCCCGCCCAGCTACTTCAACACAAGGAGACAGCCCTATCCCAATGGAAGCAACAGTAGCATCTACCACTCGTAGAACAAAACCTCAGAAACCCTACCACCACTACAAAGACTCATCATAACGTAGCGGAGCGTAGGTCGAAGTAGGCCTGCTAGTCAGCTGCTGTCCAACATCGTGACGACGATACCCTCCGGTATTGGTGTGCTCGTGGTTGCTTTCTATATCGTGGTAATCCATCTCGGTGCCCATCTCCAACATGTGGTTGCTACTATCGGAATGACCAAACTTCTTGGAAAGCCTGTGAACAGGAAATTCAACTACATGTGTCGGCGATAATATGAAAATTCTGAGAAAATTCTCATTGGATTCTCTACACTTCTACCCTAATTCGTATATAAACTCCCATAATTAGCGAGAAACTTCAACTCAGCTGAGGAATGAAAATTCTGAGAAATTTTGGAAAAACTCTTACTAATTTCTGTACACTTCTACTCAAGTTCGTATATGATTAGTCTCAGCTGAGGGAAGCGAACGTATATTTCTCTAACTTCAGTATCAGCCTATTCCCACTACCCTCACCTTAGTCTCTGCAGATTGAGCAAAGCATGTCTAATCGCGTCAGCGTGGGGTAAGGCCTCCAACCCACTCGCACCATACACGTGCATATTATACATACACCGAACCACCATATACACCAACGCAGAGAGAAGGAAAAGGGACGTCCAACTCCACCGTTTGCCTGTCCACACATGATAATCGATCATCAGGGCGAGCGCTACTCACCTGTGGGGAGTTCCTCTACCACTCCCAAGCTATCCGCTGCTGCTGCACTATCCGCAACCCCAGCGCCAGTCATGGTGGCCGGATGGAACAGACCATAGATCGGACCCTTACGGGCTTCCACGCTGAGTCGAGAACCCTCTACCAGACCTGATAAGGACGCGGGTTCGATTCCCAGCGGCGGCATTTTTTACATTCAGAAGGCACAGCAATAGAGCATCTCCGATCTCCCTTACAACCAGTCCATGCTGAGTGAAGCGTCGATTCCGAGAGCTCCAATGCACACGAACTCGCAGAGGAATATTTAGGACTGCAAATAACTCTGTACCTGAGCAAAACTCCTACAATACGCGCAACCTACATGAACAATTTCATGTGAATTCTCAACTACTGTTGATCTCAAACTGAAATTTCGTATAAATATTCATGGACTTTATCTTCGAAAATCAAATATACAACAACACACCATCCATCACGAAATCCAAGAATTCTCCTCTATACAGGAGTACACATGATCCGAGGAGTAGCACGTCACGAGAGAAAGTAAACGTTCGTTGTGGGAAAATCGGGCGGATTCATCTCACCCGCAAATCTAATACAAGATTTGCATGATGCAGCAATCGATCAAGGCTAGTATTAGCATACTATATGGCAGCTGTATATCTACGCAGACCTGTTGTGTTTCTTCCCAGCGAGCCTACTGCAAACTTAAATTTACTCCCAAGCTCCGAGGAAAATCGATTTCGAATCCCCTTCTATCACTACCGCATTTTTTGAATTCATACCAACCCCACCTCAATCTATTCGAAACTACTGTCAGAATTTTCACATCATCGATAGACCCATGCCCTAGAGCTTACAAGCTGTTCTGTGCATTAGGAGGCGCTATAAACTCCAGACTCTGTCGAGTCGAGTGAACACTGAGTGGTATAGGAACCTATCACGCGACCGAGTATCTCACCATACACCATCTCACGCGCCCAACCTGATTGAACAGCCCCACGCGATACGCCACAGTAGCGTCTCCAGCAGTGAGCAACAACGAGTTGGCGTCATTAGCTGCATAGTTATGTGCAGAGGACATGTCAACACTCGTGCCTGAAAGGTTCTATAAACCCCCAGCGAGGAGAATATATGCACATGGTCAACCACATGTGTTGATGACAATTTAAAAGTTTCGAGGAAATTCTTATTGATTTCTCTACACTTCTACCTAAATTCGTATATACACTCCTACTTCTAAACTCAGCTGAGAGAAGTGAATATATACTCCAATACTGATCACCACCCAGTATTACCATTAACACGAACATCAGCCGGTTCAAGGTTGCAACTCTCGACATGAACATTCTGTTTGAGCGAACTGCCGCCCCACATAACCCAGTGTGGGTTATACGCCCACTCGCCGACTTGTAAATTCAACGGCGCATGGATTCGAACCCGGGACGCCCCCTCCACCTACCAACACACTATCCACTACACCAATCTTCCCACAACAACCTACCTTCACAAACTTCATCTTATTGCCAGAGCAATCAATCAAGTTCTCTCCACTCAACACTTGATAGTCTCCGAAAAGTGAATCCGCCACAGTCACCTTCGCCCCCGTGCTAAACTAAATAACAACAAGAAATCACACACTTCTTAAATTACCCACAAATCGAAACACACAAATGAACATTCTATTCACAGTCAGTCCTAATACGAATATCCATGTTAGTTGTCATTTCATTAACTCGGTTATTGGGCTCGCTACCTATCAGTCTACTCCCATAACTCGGAACTCGAGTTAAGAGATTACAGCAAAGACACCCACCCAATCTCGTCCATATCAGGGAGAATCATCTACGAACCTTTAATGTTTCCAAACAGAATTCATCTTTCAAATTTCCAACGAAGTTGTCACCACATTATGAGCATTTTCCCCATTGTTATCAAACCCCGGGGAAGTCGGATGGGTCCCCGTTCCGTATCTCTCACTCGCCAACCTCAAATACCCCCCTCCCTACCGTGCTAGACTTCTCAGCATCAAACGATACCAGGGAGTTCGTATTGAGCCTATAAATATTACTGCCTCTCTTGCTGACGTCAAGCCATTCATCCATCACTGGGGAGCTCAACTTCGTCGCCCACCTATCAGTCACCGCATACACCATAACCACTAGCATAACTTCACTACAGCTGAACGTAGCTTATCGCGTCACTCTTCATATTCTCCAACTTGGCAATTTCCTTCCCGAACCCATACAATGTACAAGTACCCGCAGTACCTATCAAGAAAATATGATCCCACTTTCTCAGTAGCGAAGACAACAGCACCAGCCAGTGTCATTCACACGACCAAAGCACACATATAAGATACCCTTCAAAAGTGCTCGCCAAGGCCTTTCTAGTGAGCTATCTCTCACTGGGAAATATCGTTGAATTTTGCAAGTCACAGACAATATCACATTTCATTTAGCCACCTCGTATATTCTGTGAGTAACATCGTGGTGATCGCGCCTACATACATCTTCCGTAAAACCATAACCGATTCAGATCCTTATGATCGTCTCAACTCTATTCAGATGCATTGTGTCATTTATTGATTATTGCGCTATGACCAATGCTTTGCCAGTCAACGTTTCAGTGGTGACTCGTATAATCTACCATCTCAGACTTCATGTAAAATTCAGTTTCCACCAAAAATGATTTGCCACAAGGCAATTAGAAATAAGCTCTACACCGATCGAGCCGTCAAAGATACTGTCAGTTGACAGTCTGACGTGAATTGGAAAAGAAGAGCATGTTTGCTTACAGCATTGATCCTTTATGCAGGTCTTCACAGCATCAGCCTCCTGCCCTCTAACCTCCGTATGCAGCAGCCAGTGATCAGTATCCTTGTACCCGACCATCCCTGAAAATACAGCAAAAAATGACAACCGTGGGGCTCGAACCCGGGATCTCACAGTCTTTGAAGCTGCCCCCATCCAACGGAACTGTCATCGGTCTATAATTCAGTCGCAACGAATTGGACTTCAGGAAAAAGGCCCCCGTGAGACGATATGAGCATTTGCCCTCGCATTTCGCCCGAACCTGCAAGACGATTCCATCAGTGAATTCTCCCAAGGCAAGCAACTCTTCCACACCAACACGCATCACTCAAAAGAACATAGCAAGTACTTGCACTAGAAAAGAAGTGCTACCTTATGTCACCGTGAATAACAAAAATTATGAAAAATTCAGTTTTATACCCTATATAAAATATCATCCATACAACACCAATACACATACCATACACAACACTAAACATGTTCATGTTCGCTTGCTTTCTTCCGCTGAGCTCAAAAATTCCCTCGCTACTCCACGAAAGTCCACACACGACTTAGGGGAAAAGTATACAAAGATTCATCCAGAATCTCCTCAGAATTTTTATACTCTCACCAACACACGTAATCACTTCATATAATTTCCGGATAATAAAAAGGCGAATCGTTCGACACGGCCTTTCGAGACTTTGTAATTTAACTAGTGACCTTCAAACAAGGCATTAGCCCGTCATACTCTGGCAAACTCATGGTACTTTCGACAAAAAGACACCCCTGGTCAACGTGCATATTTTCCAACACCGATCACGGCGTTGTTGCGGAAATCTTAAGTAACGATTGCCTCCTTCCAGAAACGGCAGACACGCCCGTAGAGAACTTACGTGCATCCACTTGCCAGCAACATTTCCCTTGCTAGCATTCTCCTCTAGCTGCGCCGATCCATCACCCTTGATAGTTTTACACTTCCTAAACAGACCAATAGGT